TTGCCATTGCCGTTGACATTGCTGTTGCTTCTGCATTCCAAGTAGTAGTACTTGCCCTTCTGGTCGTAGCAAGTGCCACTGTTGGGCGAGCAGAAGGCCGTGGGGCAACCGCTGCAGCAGCCCGCATGCTGCCAGCTGAAGGCTCCAAGCGACTTGTCTGCGCTGCTTGCGGAGGTGCTGTTAAGCCCGGACGGCGCGGCTGAGACACTGCAGCACATCAGTGCCAGCACCGTCGAGACGCGGGCCACCATGCTTCCACTGAACGAAGGATGCGGAACAAACGAGCCTTGTGAGCCAAAATTGCCTCTGGGCTCAAGCGTGCTAGGCAAGAGGAAACAGAGTCGCAGCTGCAATCTGCACACCAACTGGTAACTGGTGGCATCTACCAACTCTGAGCCAGCACATTCACTGCATTGCGGTTCTGACCTTGCCCTTGTCCCATCTTTCATTGAGCCTGCCTGGTACTTCTTTACAGGTGGTCCACCAGTGATGAGGCAGGATGTGCTCCTGTGCAGGAGAGGTTCTGAAGCTTAGGCGCCCACAATAATGATGAAGGATAACTTTTTGGGCGCATGTATTAGGATTATAGGGTTGATGAATGCCACGCCAAAACATGCCAACACAGCATGACGAAATGTTGCTCCTGGTACCTCGGTTGGTCTCCGACACTTCCACGAGCACTTGCTTGGCATGGCCCTCAAAGCCTGCTTTGGAGATTTGCTTGAGCATATGCCGATATCTTAATGGCTCCGTGCCTTGTGCAATGAGAGAGTAAGGTGTTTCGTGGAGACCGAGGCGAAGCAAGCTAGCAGGCACCAGCGGCGCACTGCACAGCAAGAAAGGCACACCTTGCACATGGTGCACATGTACGCACGTGTGGCAGGGCCCATGACTCTAAATTAAATTCCAACACCATTGTACAGGTGAGACGCGCCAATTGTCCCAGGCAGGATAGAGTTTAAACGAGCAGAAGTCCGCGTAGAGCCGCCCCACAACATATCCTTGGAGCGGTTAATCATAAGTTCTGCACAACGCCCATAGTATACGGGTGGAGCTGGTCGCAGCCAGGCTACCCATGTAGAGCAACCTTGGAGCGCTCATCTGCACAGACCAGAGAGTTGGGTTAGCTTGGGCATAAGATGGCATAACCTTTGTCTTGCTGGAGAAACCTGGATGGCAAGCTGAGCAACGGGACCACCCATTCACGCTTGGGACTTGGGAGGAACTCGCAAAGGAGCGCCACGTCCGTTCCAACCAGCCCCTGCTTTGCTTTGCAGTCGTGTCAGCTCAAGTACACCCAAGATACACCAACAAATGTTTGCTTTTGCCCGCATTCAACCAAGCAGCTCCGAAACCCAAGCCAGCCAATACGCGGCAAACGCAGAAAAACCAGAAAGCCTCGAGAAAGGCTTGCGCTACATGCTGCAGCCACGCATCGCATGGTTCCATCCCAAATTCGTTAGTTGATCCATGCTTGAAGTGTGGCTCGAGTGAATTCTCGCCTTTTGGGTGTGGCTTGAATAAGAAGTGCCTGCAGGTTGGTCTAGTGAGCGCGATGACCAACCACAAGTATTCCAAATGTACATGCCTTACACCTTTCATGAGGGTCACAAATGTTTGAAGGGAATTTAAAAGAAATCTACTCCCATGCGCGCGAGGCTAGCGGCGGCTAGATTTTAGCAAGAAATGCTCCAATAGTAGTCTGTGAGGCTCGCAGGACTATTTTGTTGAGTATTAATACTATCATTGTAAAGGCTATTACTACTATTACTGCTGTTACTGAAGGTCTAGAAAAAGCGTGAACATGCAAGTAATTCACTGCCCTAAGCTTGCCGTTCAGCAACCGTCGCAAAGATGGACAGCAATGAGAACGTTGCAGCTACGATGCCTGAGATGCCAGTAGATGCACTGCGAAACTGGTGGGCAATGATGTACTTTTGACCAAAATTGAAGCTTGCAAGGATCGGCGCTTAGAGTGCAGGCAAGAAGCAGGAGACACAGAAGATTGGCCGGCGGCCAAAGCCTCAAAAAACACAATGAGAGACCACATAGATTACCCTAGTTTCACGGAGCCGTGCGGAGCCGTGCAGAGCCCTACCGCTTGCAACAGCTCAAAGGAGCACCAGGCAGATGTTGACGGCTTTTCTTGCCATCCTGATTCCCAATTACAAAGGTGTAACATATTCCCAGCCATCACTACCACTGCCAAGCACTGAATCCCTTCAGCGGGTGCGGCCTCAACTCAAGCAACCACCTCACTGATCAATGGCCAAGCTGCTGTCTGCAAAGGAACCGCTAAGGAAAGCTGAGCAAGCCATTGCAGTGTGGGAGAAGATGCGAAGGTCCACCACACTGGTCTCATCTGTCTCCCTGCCACGAGGTGCTTTTCGTGCCTATCTTGAGGATTGCTACGCATCCACACGCTGAAAGTGTCCCCGAGTCCTAGACGCACTCAAGAAGACATGTGCAAGAATGGATACATCTGCAAATTGCAGCTTCGCCACAGCGCTTGCACCAGCTGCGGTTCCATGTTGTGCAACAAAACGTTCTCCGCCCCATCAGCTATCCAAGCCAAAAGGATGGCCGCCCTCAGCTCATAACTGGGTTGCTGTTAATTCAAGTTACTATATTGGGGAAACCCTATTGGCTCTCAAGGATGCTAGGTAGAGGAGGGGATGGCAATGGGGTGTTTGCGCACGCCAGGGCCAAGGGATGAAACAGGTGAAGAACAGCAATATTATGGGATGGAACCCCTAGATGAGCGTGAATGGTTTTCACTCTTGTACTGCTGCCGCTACTGCTGCTACTCCTCCTCCTCCTCCCCTGCATCTGCTGCCGTTACTACTGTGACTACCACTCCACAACCACTATCTATGAGTCGCCCCTGCTACCAACCATTTTCGCTTGAACGTCAGGGGTGAGCGGTGCAGAGCCTAAGCAAAAGAGGGTCGTGGCGGAACATGCCTCACCCAAACAAAATCATCAACACAAATGCTGTTAGCTAGGGTAAGCACCAATTCAACAGTTGTCGAATGTGCGCTCATCGAGTCTACTTGACTATGCCGCCCCCCAAACCCCCTTCCGGACCACCCTCACCTCCCACCCAACCCCCCTCCCCCAAACCTCTCCCTCATCCTGTACGCCCGATGAAGTTACAAGCCTTTTGGCATTCCTCAGGAGTAAGGATTTCCCAACTTTACAGGGTTTCAGTATGCGCAATTCGCGAACCATGGTTGTGAGAGGTAGGTCCCGCCTGCTACAACTAATGCTCATATCAATGATACATGCCATAAGCCTGCAGTCCCTACAAAAAACACACACGGAGAAACAAAGACATAGTTCTAGATTCGATCATGAACCCAGGCCCTAAACCCTGAAACTTACGAAGCCCGAAAGGCACAATGGTCAGCTGATAGCGGCCCACTCCGCAGACCGCAAGCGAGGCATCCAGGTCCAGGTAGTGCCCCGTCAGTGGCGAGCTGGGAAGCTGTTTTTAGGTCTAGGGTCTAGGATGTATAAAGTTTTGTGGTTGTAGGGCTTGGGTGAATACACCTACTCACCGCATCTCACAGCTCACCATTTATGTAGATGGATACTTATTCGCAGGTTCTGGAGCAGAACTTGGAAGGGGAATGTGCCAACGTTCCAATTCCTCCTTAAGCTCTCCCCATTCGTATGGCTGGCTGTGTCTCCCCCACACGACAGCCAGCCAACCCACCCTTCCACACATTCTCAACTACCGCACTGTCCGGGGCACCTGGTGTAGACTGCAGGTCTGCCGTACTGCATGCAAAACCAGCACGCCAGGGTAAAGGCGACCATCCTTGTTTGGCTAGATTTTGTGCTTTAACCGCGCAGATGGCGCATGCTTCTTCACAAAGTTTGGCCGAGCTGCAAGAGAAAGATGCGCAGGTTCCGCAGCATTGGCTCCAAGTGCTTGGGGGTCTGGATGACGTGAGCCTTGCAAACACACCATCCAGCAAGATCTACTTGCCAGCACAAGCTGCACTCGTGTGTCTTCCTGCACCCAAGTCGCAGCTTGAAAGGGGGTCGAATGAAGGTCCGAGTGTATGCAAGCCTCAGCTTTGAAAAGCCGCTAGTCTTCACAACGATTCAAGTGTGCATGATGAGCCTTATCAGTTGTCGCGCTAGTGCCGGCTGCGGTGACTTTCAAGATATCTGAACTCGGGTCATGAACCAGCAGGCAGACACCTATCTCTTGTGACTCCGAGCCAGGTTGTGTCCAGCTACGATACAGGGAGGAAAGACTGGAGGTGGCACGTCCTTAGACTGGCAAGGGCAACTTCATCCATGTCATGATGCAAACTTGCCGAACCTCTGTTTAGGGGCGGGCACTAGTGTGGCAGCATAAGAGGACGCGCATGCATATCTGCTTGATGAAATTTGATGAAACTCATTGCAAGCTCAGGCAAGTGACCGCAGAGGAGGCGTTGCCCTTTGATGTTGCTGTTAGCAGTGATGGACGAAAGGCTGCCCCTAAAGAAATCTCCACCAGCAGCAGGATTCCATGTCGCATCAGCATGGGCTGCCAGCGTCCATGGCAAGCTGTCACAACTCCTGGCTTTGCATTCCCAGCAACCCTGTGGAAGTCGCGGCCTAGTCACTTTGCAGCGGCAAAACCTGCACCACAACCAATTACTCAGGAGTAGCTAGACTCAGTAGAAGCAGAGCGGGTATGAAGTGTAATGTAAGCCCTCTTTCGTGAGGGGCGCAGCTGGTCGCTGCCGACTGTTGATATGGAAGACTGATTAGCAAACCACAACCTGCTTGTGCAAGACGGCAGAGAGCATGACCAAGGCATGGTACACGCTAAACAAAGCTATCTCATGGTGCGGGATATGACAGCACGGCACCGATTCCACATACCTGCCCAGAAGAGAGTCCACCTGAGCTGCTAGTAAAGTGAACTTGCATATCCTACATCACATGCAGACTCATCAGCGCAGCTTCTTCCACCAGATTTACCTTCTTAGGATCGCGCCACCTCCTGATTCGGAGGGCTTCTAGAGGAGCCATCCTGCGATGAGTGTCCACAAGCGTAGCAGCGTAGCATTGGCAATATCATCACAACTTTCACTTTGGGAACCACAAGTATGTGATTGCTTGGAGCTACGGCGCCTTCTCCTGCAGATAGGCTGCAAGGGCTGTGGTGAACTCGCCTCAGCAGCGCATCGGATTCATCCCCAGGCCATGCATGGGCTTCAAGTTGAAAGTCCAAAGTTGAAGCGCACAGGGGTATGGAAACGCGAGGGATCGGCCCAGCTCTCCACCCGGCGTCGTCAGCGCCGGTTCTGTGACACGGTCATCCAGGCATGCCAAGGTGGCATCGGCCTTGTCAAGCAGCCCCAAAGCCACGCTTCTTCATTTTCAACACATCAAACATTTGAGCCATGGCATTCAAGGCCAAAGCCGCTCGCAGCAAGGAGACGCGATGCCGCTGCTCCTCGTAGATACAGGGAACCAGAGCTGCAGAGGCCGGACACGCAACCCTCTGCTTCTCAAGACGCAAAAAAGAAGGTGCCCAAAAAGCTATAGCACTGCTATAGCCAACGCTTGATACGCAGCATGTGAAGTTAGTTGCTCCTCGCTGAGGCTGGGCCCACCGAAGCGTGCGGCCACATCCTGCGCGGAGAGGCCTCCGCCTGGGTCACCAGATTCTTTGGGAAGACCTTCGGATGTTGATGAGCCTTGTTGTCGAAAGACGAAAAACGATAACAGAAGACTTGTTATTCGATGTTCTTCAAAGACTGCTACTGAAGCAGGATGCTGGGCATGGTATTACTACAGCACATTAACACCTCGGATTCCATCTCCAAAGGAATACCGAAACCAGGGTCTATGACGCTAAGAACACACCCAAAATCAACACAGATGCCCTCAAATTGACCACATTCACCCAGTCTGCACCTGCATCCATGGCAGGTGGGCTTCTAAGCGCAGGTCTTCCTTGATGCTCTTGTCGAATGTCTAGTCTCGACCTCAAAGGCAAATTGGCAGAGACCACTGTCAAGTCTATCAAATGGCTGCCTTGTGACCTGCCTGCATTCGGCGGTCTTTGTGCGCGTACGGGCGTCTGACCGTAAGGCTGGGACGCTTGATGTGCGAAGCTGCTTCCTGTTTCAAGCCTCAACACTGCTGCATCAAGTTAGCAAGTCATGCTGCAAAAGTGCATCAGCCACATGATTGTTGCACGTAAGCATCCCGCAGCGACGGCTGAGCGACAGCTGCAGCCTATTCAACATGCAGGTAGATCATGAAATCTCAAGTTGATTCAGACCGAGTAAGATAAGATCACACGTCACAGATCCCTGCCTTTGTCGGACATGGGCAGTCGTTACCTGCTACCTGAGCTGCTGGCTCCGCGACACAGAGCCTGCTCTAGCATTCGGCAGTCTCAAAGAGCTCTGCCCTCAGCATCCTTCAGATATGGATCGCGTTGTGCACAACTGTACAAAGTCTGCTTCTCCATTAGATATTGAA